AATTAGCAATCAAAGTCACTTCATTTATTAATTTATTTGATCTTGCTAAGTGATATAAAACAATTAATACTATTTTATTTTTTGTCACTAATTTGAGCATGCAAGGCTAGGTGATAGCAATAAATAAACAATCAAGTTTTTTTTTTAAACATATGAGACTAAGTTATAAACAAAATTTATAAATATTAAGCAATTAATATGTGAAAAATAAAGTTTTGAAAATTGAGCAAGTTTTGAAATATGAATTTTTTATTTTTTTAAAAAAACGCTTGTTTCTTTATAGGGATGATGCAACGATATTGTTGATCGCGCTCCTCCACCATAGAAACAATTTTGATTTGAGATCGGTCTAAAAATAGTTTATGTTTTTGAAAAATGATTTAAAAGATTTAGTTTTACATGTAGGCACATAAATATTTACACATAATTCATGGGTAGGTGGTACTTCCGGGGACGCGTCGGGTTTAAAAATTGGAACTAGACCTCGTAGTTCCTTTGACTTTCCCACTAACGATAGGTTAGGAGATAGTGCTTATAATTTATTTTAAAAAATAAACAATGTCATAATCAATCCAAAGTTTTAAAGGATGATTGAATAATGACTCTTAAGAAAATTATGTTGCAAAACTTTGTAAGTAAGAAAAAAAAACTAGTAGAACATTAAGGTAGTAAATTTATTAAATGCAAAGGTTTTGATATGAAATATTCAAAAGCCAAGTAGTTTGTTAAAGCATGAAATGATTTTAATTTATTATCACTATTATTTTAAGGAAACAACATATTGCATCATAAATGCGGAAATTTTCAAGAAGACAAATGAGATTACTAATTAAATAATATCAACTAATTTAGGGGGGGGGAGGGCACAAATATGCACAACAAATTTTATTTTTTATTATAGATATGCTAAAAGTTTAAGCCTATAGACATGATTTCTACGTGACAAGACAATGCTAAAAAAGTTATAACATTTTTAAAACACCTAATCAGCCTACTAAATTATTACGATTTGATTTTAACATTCAAAAATTACGATTTGATTTCTCCTCTTATCTTTTTTTTTCTCTTTAGATTATTTTTACCCTAATTATTATATGACTATTATAAGAGTATTGAAAGTGACCCATTATTAATTCTAATGTTATCTCCGTTTACTATTAAGTATATTAAATATTAAAATTATCCCCTTACTTATATAATTATAGTTACGAAGTCTAAAATAGCCATTTAGAATCTACCGAAAGAGTCTTTTATAAAATAAGAAGTTCTAGTATCCAAAACAACTAAAATGGTCATTACAGTAATACTTTAATTTTTAATTTTTAATTTTTAATTAATATTAGTAGTTTATTATTTAATTTTTATCAAGTTGATATATTTTATCCATGTAGAATGTCATGTGTTAACACACACCACTTGGATGCATTTCTCAAACTAAAAAGTTATAGTTTAAGAGTGTTTGGATGAACTTAAAAGTTGGTCAAATAGCTCTAAAATTTTATTTTTGACTTATTAGATTGTTTGACAATTAGCAGAGTGACTTATTTTAAGTCAAAATAGCTTATTTTAAGCCAAAAGTTAAAAGCTAGTGATGGGGTGCTTTTTTTTTCAGTTTAAAAGTCATTTTATGTTGACCAAGTAAATTACATTTTTGTCCTTAATTCTTTTATTATTATTATTATTATTGCTGTTGTTGTTGTTATTATTATTAGTTTAGTATTTGTATTAGTAGTAGTATTTAATAATAATAATAAAATTTGTGATGATAAAGAAATATGTGAATGATAAGAAATATTATTACTTATAGATGGAAAATATAAATTAATTTTATTTTAATTTTTTTAATACATTGATAAATTTTTTTATTATGTTAACAACTTTAAGGGTATTTCAAACATTTCGATAAAAAAAAGTTTTTATCAGCACTTATATGTCAAACACATTAATAACTTTTTTTTAACTGTAGTACTTTTATTCAAAGATATAACTACTTATTTTAAAAATAAGTTTCAACACTTTTTAAGGTACTTTTTAAAAGTTACTTTTCTAATTCAATCCAAACGAGCTCTTAGTATAAAACTCATACTCTTTATAATTTAGATATGAAATTCAATCAAAAAAATTAAATATATTTTTGACATTTATCTAAAATAAATATTAAAAAAAAAAAGCTCCCATAGATTGTTATGTTATTATATGATGACTAAAAAATTAAAAAGTAAAGAAAATCTAAGTAGTAGTAATGTGGTATCTTTCTCCCCCCAAAAAAGTTAAGCATAAAATTTTGTTTGGCTTGTTCTAACAGGAAAAAAATCACAGCATAATTTAACACAATGATTAAAATAATTTTGATAGTTCAATTGCTTGGCAATTTAAATTTTCATTTTATCCGAGAGAAATTGATTCCCTTTTGAAATTCCTTTTTCCTATCCTTAGTTTTGAAGAAAAAAAGACAATGCTTAATTTGCTTGCGTTATTAAACTTCGTATTGCTAATATTTATATTTTCTCATCTCATATTATTTATTCACACTATAAAAATATTTATTAAACTAATTAATTTTTTTTATAATGTCCTTAAAATTAAATATTTTTTATTTTTAACATAACGTAATACTGTCCACTTTGAATTGGTACAACTATTAAAAAAATAAATAATTGACATAATGAGATTTATCATTTTATTCCTATTAATTACGTAGATATGGATTAAAAATGTGAGATTTTCAAAAAGTTATACATTATTCAATGTAATTAATTGAGAATATAATAGGTAAAAGTTTATTATCCTTTCTTAATTTATCAAAATAAATAAGTAATTAGGATTAATTATTAAAAAAAAGTGAACAAACAATAACATACGTGAGAATATTTAAAAGAATTCTTTCACTTTTGATCTTTCCATATCCATATTTAGTCGAAAGAAATGCATTAATTGTCTGCATAAGGCCCATAAATTGAGAGTAAAAAACCAGTTAAAAGATTAAATTTTACTGTTTCATTTATAATTTTTTTAATAGAGATATCAAAGAAGAAGTGGATATGTAAGGTAATGTAAATCGGAGAAAATATATGTTACGCATTGAAATTTTGATACTAGTATTTGGTGCTGAGATACAATGTGTGTATATATATTAGTATTAGTAATGCATGAGTTACAAGAACTAAAGGTTACAGAAAATACATCAAAGCAAGCAATCCCAAATAATATTTTTGAAAAAAATATACTGAAAAATTCTTTTATAAAGTATTGCCACTCAAAGAGACGCAAGAAAATAAAATTGATGTAAACAAATGAAAAAAAAAAAGGAACAAGAAAGGAAATAAATAATATTATCGAAATATTAAAGTAAGAAAATAAACCTAATCAGAAATTTTGGGAGAGGTTAGTGTAATAGCACAATATCTAAGGAGAAGTCTTTGAAATTAGAGAAAATTATATGAAGTAATTAATAAATTATTAATTCAAATTAAATGTTATAATCATAATTTTTTTTTATTTGTAATTTTCAGCAAATATTTCATATTTTTTGTCATTCCATTTATAATACTGAAATATATAAATACAGGACTCATTTATATATCGAAATATAAAAATTGACCCAAATACAAATTTATATATATAATATATATTTACGGAAATATACATATTAAGTTTTCTACGCAGCCTAATTATATAAACTATAGATATGACATAAAGAATATAATTTTTACGTGTATTATATGTAAAAGTTGTTCAAGAATTATTCCTAAATTATATCAATCAAACGCAAATTGTTTTTATTTTTCAAAATAGACCGCTAAGTACTGCTTATTTCTAGACGAAGAGGAAATATCCAGGAACATTCATATTTTAATAATACGGAACTTATTAATTTAAGTAGTATTATCTTTTTGGTACCAATGAAAGAGCTCCACTTTGAGTTTAGGTAAATTACATTTTTCAATCACTAGTTTTTTGAACAACCACAACATTAAATTCCTATGTCTTCCTCTTATTTACAAATTTGTGTCTTTCATTTCTTTTCCTAAATAATAAAATAAAGGTCTTATCACTTGTGGGGATACAACAAAATTTCTAGTTGTTTATAAATATATTTTTGTATATTATATTGTCTGTTTATTTTATCTACTTTTTGAAAAGAGCAATTTAGTTTTTCTCCATAAACAGAGAAGCTCTTATAAATTTAAAAAAAATCTCTCTTCCTACTTTTTATGTTACTAGTTTTTTGAACATGTGTTTTGTATATGTAATCGGTATTAATGAGTATATTATTTCTTACAAAAATAAATATTATTAAAAGTAGGGTGATTTTAGTTCTTTTTTATAAAATATGTGTAATTGAAGTTTCTTATTTTGTCTTACTACTAATTGTGAACTTTTATGATGGTACGAGGAAATTTCACAACTTTCATCACAAATTGTAATATTGTTTCACTTGTTTAGAGCTCCTACACATAAAAATTGTAGTAGTAAATAAATTTTTTCTTAAAAAAGTTAAATTTATAGGACAAAAATCACGGAAACATAAAGGAAAATTGAAAGGTCAAATACTATTAAAATAAATATAAAAAAGATAGAGTTATTGTATGACTTAAAACAAAAGAATAATATAAAGATGAAGAAAAGAAAAATATGACACATGAGGAACAATATCAGATAACTTTCTAATTGTTATGAATATATTTTTGTATATTATAGTGTATTGATTTTATCTACTTTTTGAAAAGAGTTTAAGTTAAGCCAATCCATCAATAGAGAAGCTCTTATTTATAGTATATATTTTCACTTTTAAAGAGAGATGATTTTTTTTCCCTCTCTTCATAGTATAACGTTATCAACACAAAGTCTTTGCCTTGAACACTCACGTTGTTGAAAAGAAAATTAAAGCTAACTTTCTTTTTGAAAGATGCATTACTTGCCTAGAGAAATGTCATTCCTTTGGCGATTTTGTTTTCTTTCAATATTAGCAAAATAAGAATGAAGTAAATATGATTCCATGACGATAAAAGATAAGACGTAAGATTTTCACTAAGAGAATTCGAAATATGAAAAGTATCCAATAATAAGCGGGACAGGAAGTGAAGGGTAAAATTAACCTTAATCCGCTGATGTTGTCATATCTCATTTAACATTTCTTCTTAATTTTGTCATTACGCCAATGGAAAATTTGTGTCATAAAACATGATTCCCCCGCTCCATTTCCATTGAAATATTGAGAATAGCTGCTGCACATTTAGTAGTGAATGTCCTATGGTGATATTAACCTTTCATTCCTTAATAAGAAACCTTATTAGCATGTAGAAATTAATGATAAATATATATGTCTAGAGAATGAATGGAACAAATTAAAAGTTGGAGGTTTAGGTTGTGAGGATGGGAGGAAGAAAATTAGATATGGTACCAAGAACAGGTGCCATGGTGTCAGGAAAACATCCTACTCCAGGTAGTTCAGTGATTTCTCCATTTTCAGTAATACCAATAGGGTAAGTAAGAAGGTGTCCAGGCAAATCATGAATGAGTCTTTCACTTGAATACATATCCCAATATTTGTCACCAATTTTGTTCACCTTTCGGATGCATTCTACGCTCTCTGGTTGAAGGAACCTGTCGTCTAACATGCCTAAGTGCTCGTACCACAATGCCATACGGAACCCATGAACTTGACCCCTAGCTGGCTCCTTCACACATAGATGAAATGGTTGGTAGGCTCCCATTGCTATTTCTGAGTCTCTTGCACCATCCATTGACCTTTGATTGATGTTAGCTGATCCAATGATAATGTATTCATCATCCACTGCAGATTAAAAACAGAAACATAAATTAACAACTTGATTTTGGAAATGTATGGATCCACACACAGACATATATATTTGTAATTGAACTTGCCTATCATCATTTTGGAATGCACGTAAATCATGAAACGTCTGGCTTCTTGAGCTTTATGATAGCCGGAATTAGGTTCTGGCGTTTCACAAGGCTCGTATTCTCCTCTCTTCTTTGTTTCCCTATTGCCAAGGCAAAAGAAACTCAAATACTCCTTGGGATTTGCCACAATTCCCTTTACTTTTAGAGCTTGAATTATATCGGTATACATCATTTGCATGGTCCTCCTTTGCCAATCCAGTATTGCTTGTACAGATGCACTCTCAGGAAGGCCTTCTGGCCACATTGGAACCACAACATAAACTGTAAACCTTTCCCCTGCTTCAATTTTGCTGACTATCTTCAAAGACAGCTCCTTTGGGATCAACTGCAGAGAATTAATGGCTTCGTCCTTGATATCATTGGAGTACCATGAAAAGCAGCTGCCTAAAAAGTACTGATTTTCTATGTAAATGAAATGCTTTGCTCGACGAATGGCATTAATATATGCATCCTGTATGCTTCGATCAATGATGTTCTCCTTACCACTTATAAGACCAGACTTGGCTGCCTCTTCGGGAGCACTGGGGAAGCCAAAAGCTGCTCCTCCATCAATGGATCGAAAAACTTGAACATTCCATGTGTCGTGATCATCAGGATACATAACAGGTGAAGGTGGTATGATGATATTATCGATATCCCTTAGGTCTATAAGCAAGTCCCTTACCCCTTGCTTCCTCCATCTCTGTTCAAAATTGTAGAGCACATCCCAAGCTGCTGGCCCTTCTATTCGGCAATGGATATCGTGCCAAGGCTCTCTTGGTCCGCCTTTATGAATTGAGGTACCGGTGAAATTTGGTTGGTGAAAATCATCATGATGTGCTGTGTCCAAAGTCCTGAAAAGGGAGTGAAATTGTGTATCATATCTACCATCACAAAGATCAAGCCCACCAATATAACTCACAATTCTCCTCCTCTCCCTGTCTCCATTAGGCATTTCTCCATCAACAATTACAATCTTTTGATGATGAGTAAACATTGTCCCAATCTCTATATTCTGAATAATGCTCCGTCCATCATCAGGATTTCGAGGACACAACACACAACTTACTTGAGTGCCTCGAAAATAATTAGCAGTTTCTTCATCATGAGTAGCCATTAGTCCATCTTGTTGTAACACAGGAATCGATGTCCTGTCATCCCAGACCAACATTAGAACTCGCACACCTTCATTAGCTTTTCTCTTAAGCAACTCTCCGAGCGATATGTCTCCACCAGGCTTAGGCCTCCTCCTGTCCCTTATCAAAGTGACCTCGGTATAAATAGACCATCCAGTTATATAAATTAAATGCTTTGCATTAGTGACTGCATCAAAAATGTCTTCCCAACATCGTTGTGGCTTATAAAACTTTCCATCAGAAAGTGGAATTTTCGGGATGAAGTTATCAGGAACATGACAATCTTGGTAAAGGGTGACCCTGCATCCTTGTCTTTGACGAAAGAATGTGTAAGGAACTCCAGGAAATCTTGTGACTTTTATCCCTCTATTCCAATTATATTCCCTTGTGACATCAAAATATTGCAACTTCACATGGATTTTAGAGTGTCCATGCAAGGGTTTTCGTTCTGTATTGAGGATTTCAAGCCATTCATCAACTTCTTCTCCATCTAGCAGTTGTTGTACTGGAAAGTAAGCTCTTCCAATGACTTCTGCTCCAATTGGATTATCAAATTTGACGGTGATTATGACATTGGCAGCCATATGGGCACAGTAAATGTGGAATGATTCGTACCACCGTGGATTTTTGTGATCATCCAGTAATCTGGTTCTGCCAACTCTGGCTTTTCCAAGATCAATGGTTGCATACAATCTTGACGCTGCCTTGTTGAAACCAATAGCTCCCTCAATGCCTTGAACCACCTACAGCAAAACAAGTACATTAATCTACAAGTAAATACTTTTGTTACTGTCATGTAACATGTCAAACTGCACAATTGTAATAGTATGCTAGAGAAGTGTTGGTAAAAACATTGAAACTTCACTCGTTATTCTAGATAATGTGGTATGAGATCGATGGAAGTACCTCAAGACAGCCAAGGCTGCTTCGTACACTATAACTTGAACACCGTCACAATGATCCTTGGCCTTAAGCCCAACGTCACACATGCTATGCTACTAAAGTAGCCGTTTCAGTGCTAAGCGAGTAGTCATTTCAAACTGAAGCGGCACCTTAACTTCTTTTGTCCAATAAAAGAGTCTGAGAATGCACATAGTAAATCCTAAAAGTCACCCCAAATGCCTTTTGTTAGAATTTCGACAGGAGAAGGCTCTTAGCCTTCTTCCTGCTTGTCTTTTGAGCAATCTTAACACTTGTATTCGTTTACTCATCCTTGAGGACATGATATGATAAATTGTATGGTAAACCAAAATGACCATATTTCCAGTAAACAATGGTAAACTTAAACTCAGATTGAATCGCCCCTATACACAGGTACAAAAATCGGGTGGAAAATTAAAAAAAAAGACACAAAAAAGTTCCCTTTGTTTCTCTCCTAACTGGTGTTTCCATTTCCCAAAATACCCAAATTCATCAGTTGCATAATTCATTAAAATCAAACGGCATTCGTATTTTGATACACATACTTCCATTCGATTTATCGAAATTTCCCATCTTTATTAGATCTAAAATCAAATAAGGAAGTGGTGAAAAGGAAGAGGAAAGCAATTTTCACCTTATTGAAAAAGTCTCTGCCAAAATTAGTATGAAGCCTATCAACCTCGAATATAGTTACATGAAGAGTACCATGTAGCAGAAACTGTGCCATCCCTGAAAAAATATACGAGTAATAAGACTCATAAACTTTAAATTCCGAATCAGTCAGTCTCGAAGCTTTATTTGCATCATATCATGTGATGTTAAACAAAAGAGTTAGAGTTGATTACCTTAGTTTGAGCTGACGAACAGAATCTTGAGATAAAGAGTTAATTGGGAGGAGATCACAATAGTAGCCAATAGTAAGTTGACTTACATTTCTCTTCCCAATAAGTGTCAACTTAAATAAATATTCCCCCGCACCCATACCCATCTGCCAAAAAATAATAATTATATTTTGTAAATAAAATAAAATTTATTATTTTAAATTTGCCTACACAAAAAACACAATACATCTTACAAAATTATATATATTATGTATTAATCTCAAATATTTACTTAATAAAATATTAAGACTCCTAGACCAAGCACCTTTAGAAGTCCTTATAAAAACACAGTACCACTCCAATTTAAATGGGAGTGTTAAGCATGGTTATTTTTTAAAATTATACCATTCTAATTTTTGGATATTTTATGATATATAATTAAAATTAGATTTTTTTGAATCACTTCAATTATATTTGTTTGGTATGTCGGTTTGGTACGATTCGATCAATTTTTAATTTTTTTTACAGTATCACTTCAAAATACATTATTACTAAAATATTTCTTTTTCAAATATGTTTTTAAAAAAATAGTTTAGTTTTTCACTAAAAAGCCAAGAAAGTAAAACCTTATTATTTAAAGGCTAACAGAGAAAAATTGTATTCCATCTGTCTGAATTTATGTGACTTATTTTTTTATGGCCAGTCTAAAAAAGAATAATATATTTTTGTATGAAATAATACATAAACATCACCCTTAACTTGGCTTCAACGGGCAACTGTACACTCCAACTTTGAGTTGCAAAGTTAAACACTTAAACTTGTATAAATTTGAACAAGTAGACACGCATATCCTACATGACATAATACATGTAAGACGACTCATAGGACATAAAATAGTCATGTAGGGTGTCATGTAGGATGATTGTGTCTATTTGTTCAATTTTATACAAACTTAAGTGTCTACTTATGCACACCCAAAGTTAAAGGGAGTCCGGAGTCTAAAGGGTATAAAATACTAACAAAAATTTCAAAATGGTATATAAGATTTTATATTAACCAAAACGACAAAATCGCTGGAACAACAGCAATTTACTCCACCGAAAAAACCAAAATCATTGCCACTGCAGCGATTTTGCAAAATGTGAATATTTTTTTTTAAAAAAAATTGAAATCACTACCTAGGCAGCGATTTTCAATTTTTTGTAAAATAAAAATTATCCTATTCGATCCCTAATCAAAAGAAAGTTGACTTTTTATTTTTATTATTTTGCAAATTAAAAATTTAAGCAAAGATTTTTATTGATCAAAGAAGAGGTATTAAAGCACCCTCAAGTCTCATAATTCTAGCATGATTACTTGATTGATCTATATCTGAATTGAAATCATTTTAGAATATATTAAGTTTATAAGCCTAAAATTGCTTTTGTTCCACAAAATTTGTTTGAACTTGTTTTAAAACTTTGCCTTATTTTATTAGTACGTGGGGTAATACAGACAACAATACTTCTCAGCCTTGTCACATATGACTGATTTGTTTGTGTGTCGCTCATAAAATTCACATTATACACTTCAATTGGTATTTTTACTCTTATCAACCTAATTATGCTCCTAGCGATTTCATTTAAGTACTCTTTTTTTCTTTTTTTCTTTAAGAAAAGGCCAAAAAGTCCCATTTTATTTATTAAAAAAAAATACACCTCCCTTATATGGTCTTAATTAAGTCCTAACAATTTTAAATAATATTAATATTAATTATCAAATGATGTAAAAGACCATTAAAAATAAACAACATTAAATCTATTTGAAATAAATTTAAATAAAATACTTTTGGATGTTCCCATGGAACCATATAAAGTTGATATAAGTAGATATACTAGAAACTAAAATCAGTATAAATGTCTTTTTTTTTGGGACAAATTACTATATATAGTAGTGATTCACCCATTAAAACTATGAAGTTTTCAAAGCTCACTTTTTATATTAACCTATACATTACTATTTGTTTGCTAAACGTTAATCGTTTGCAATTAACTGAAGTTGGTTGAACAATCAAAGTTAATTACAGAGATTTATAATATAAATTTATTAATTTAATATAGATTCATCACTCAAAAAATATCCAAAGAAAGTTACCGATTTTATTTTATTTTTTATATATTAAAAGAAGAGCACATATTATTAATCATACAAAAGAGAAAGTAACTTAATTCAATAGAACTCATTCAAATATTGTTTAATTATATAGCTAGAATATTGAGTTTCTTGTTTTAATTAAAAACAAAAGCAAGAGTTGGACTTTTAAGCATGCAAAAAAAATAAAAAATAATCACAATATTATATCCTAACAACCAAACAAGACACCAAAGTTTTATTTCTAAACTATTCTTTTATCTTAAAATTATTTATTTTTATTCTTCACACCAAATCATCCATAAAAATAAATCTCCAATTCCACTTTATTTATTATTTATCTGCGTTTTTAGCTCTCTTTTTCCTTTTTCTCTCATTCCAACTTTTCCAAGATCAAAGTTTACGAACTTTCTAACATTTCTCCACTCTGATTTCTTTTCATGTTTTATTCTTAATTTATTTTTAATTTTTTAATTTTCAAAATACAATATTAAATATTAATTAATAGCTAGGCAGTATAATAAAATAATAATTATTTTATATGTCAAATCCAACTTCTCGTCGCGAATAAAAGATAACCTGAGGACATGAAGTCTAAAATTCAACTATAATAGCAATAAAATATCAATCCAACTATTTTAATTTGTGACTTTTCAAAGATATTTGCTTTTGGTGACTTTTTTAATTTGTGTTATAAAATAGGATAGATGTGTGAATGGAAGTTGGGGTGTAGGTAGGAGTAAGAATAGGAACGAGTAAGACGAGTTATATGACAACTGCCTTCTCGAAGAAAATAAGTGTTTCCATAAGAAAAATATTGTGTAAATTAGTTATATAGCATTTTCTACGATAATATTTTTAAGATATAGCTTTAGAGTTTGTATTTCAATATATAACATTTAATATCTCAAGCTATAGCATATTATTATAAACTATAATGTTAATTTAAAATAATTAAAGAATTGTTTTTTAAAAAAATAAATAAAACGGACAAAAAGTATAAATGAAAATGACATCCTTTATTACTTATATTAAATACAATTATTAATTGGTGTTAATTGATTGACACTTTTTAAGAAAATTTAGAAGATATTCAGATTAGTTAGTTGTCTTAAATCTCTCAAATTAGTTTAAATAAGAATAAATTTTGATTTAATTCCTTAAAAAGCTTTAACAAATTTACATCAATTACAATCTGTTTTTCTTTTTTTTTCAATTTCCACTATTCTTTCAGATTTGCAGCAGATATCACTCACTTTTGTTTTTATTTAGTAATTGAAGAAATTTTGACGTTGAAAAAAAATTGATTTGTTGTGATGGAGAACATTGTGTCGATATTAATTAAACATGGGGAAGATGAAATTCATCGGGTTGATTTTAATTACGATTTGTTAGTTTTAGTTATGATTTGTTGGTTTTGATTATGATTTGTTGGGTTTTAAAATGGAGAACATTGTGTAGATTTTTTTGGTTATTTTAAGATCTGAAATATAGATTATAGCTTGTTTTTTTTTTGGATGAAACGGTGTTTTGGTATATATATCGTATCTGAAAACAACATGTAAATGTATATGTGTTTGAGTTTTAATAAAATTGAAGATTTTGCGTAATACTTGATTGAAGAACAAAATACAAAAAATGAATTTGATGGTACAGTGTATTTAGTCACTATTCAAAAAATAAGTATTTATAATTATATGGATCGTTGAAGTATGAAAGTTGTATTAATCGTGTATTAATTATGTTTCTGTTTGGCATATGAAGGTAAATGTTGATATAATTATGTATGAATTTTGCATGAAAACTGTATTTTTTTTGTTTAGTTAATTCTTTTTGTGATGATGAAAGTTATATTTGTTTTTTAGTTTAGTAAATTTTTTTTGTTATCTATGGATATGTGTAATATTAATGAAATTGTTGGTGAAAAAATAGTATAAAATTGATTGAAATATGAAATGTTAGTTTGTTTGTCTGTATGAAATGTGTATTATTTTGGATACGTCTTTTTGTTATGTCCAACTTGACAACATCTACTACAAGTAACCTTTGACCTTTTGAATTTCACATCAGCAAACTCCTTCTAGCGTTCAACATGCGATTTTCTAACTGACCTACTTGGACCGGGTGCCATCAATTTTGGCTTTGAAATATAACTGGGAATATCTCATGTACTCTCGCAGGAGATAGGTTCAACAGAGATGACACATG